TTTTTTTTTTTTTTTTTTTTTTTTTTTTTTTTTTGTCTCAACCCACAAATTTTACTTTTTTTTTTTCCTTCCCAATTCTCTCCCCGATCCCACTGAGGGGCTGGGGGGGAGGGAGTGAACAGCTGTGTGGTGTTTAGCTGCCTGCTGGGTTAAACCTCAACACAAGGTTACACATCAAGTGATCACAAAACACCTCTGTGATCTAAGCTTTTTAACAAGATACTCTTCTAGTTACTAGGCTTTCACTCAGGACCACTATGAGTTGACATAACAGTTGAAGATCACGTATTCTGGTTAAATACCAGTATTGTGTTTTCTGGATGTTATTCTTAATTCTGGAGTCAAATGTATCATGGCTGATGACTTAGAGTTATGCAGGCTGCCTCCAAGTTTTCCTTTCCTGTCTTTCTTGTCTGCTATTACACTATTTAATGCTAAATTTCACATTTTTGTCTTTCATCAAAGCTGCAGTGTATTAGGTGTCTAGTACTTCCTATCTCTGCAGATTTCTGAAGTGGTCTTTTCGATACGAATGTAAAATTCTCCATGGTTCTGTCTGGAGCCGGGCAGGGGTCCCAGATCATGCCTAACAAAATTGCAGGTTATCACCTGGATGACTTTAGTTTATCCACATAAGTTCCTGTTGCAGTTATAGATGCACCGGTCGTCAATTACATACACATTCCATGAAGTTCATGATTTCTAGTATGTTAACCAACTCTCCATAGAGACTACAAATGATGCATTAACACACCTGATGAGAAACACAGTAATGAGGCACTTTGCTGCAGTTTGCCTTTGAGTAGGCTCATTCTGTCACATCTGGCAGAAGAGATGTCCACTTTATACCTAAGAATATGCTGAGCACCATTCTTTTTCAGAACGCTATAAACAAAGAACAGCTGATTTTTCTTTTATGCAACTGAGTTTCTCAATTCAAATGTATTTCAAATCTGGTTTACTTTTCTTCAGGTAAAAATCACACTCATAGCCCACAAAAGACGGTCATATTAACAGTTGTTAGCCAAATGGTTGCTAGGCTTGTAACCTTCAATTGGTAGCATTTTTTACAGTTTGAAAGTATCATATTTCATTTGACGCATCAGCAACAATAATGTATGTTTTTAAGATGTATATTCAAGAAAATAAAGAACATTAATGCAGAAAGTTTTAAGTAACGTAAGTTCTGGTCTAATGTATATTTATAAAAATAACATCCATAAATAGCACTTTATGGCCAAAGAGCTATTAAACTTTCATTATATTACACATTAGGGTTAACCCTGAAATTGCCTTAGTAGTCTACGTTAAGCCTTTAGTTGAGTCCTTGGGGCCCATCTAACCTGACTGGGAAGTTGGGCTGAGCTTCCTGCTTTGAAGTTCAATTGGGCTTCTACCTGTTTTGTAACCTTCATGGCTAGAGATGCCCGTCTCCCGTAAGGCTGGGGCATACCAGCTGCACGGCCCCAGTCCAGAACGTCCTGTTTGGCCTACTGCCCTTCTGCAGTCCTTCTCCTGCCTGCTGCTCCCGTAACCAGATGCAGCGTGGAGGGGTTGGGGCAGGATTACTACAAAGGCTGCTCTTTTCACATAAGCAACATGAAGCAGGCAACCTGTGATAGAGGCTGTGATGGGCAATACGCTTGGAGAGCAGATATTCCGTAATATGCACGGAGTTACACATTCCCGTGTAATTCAGGAAGAGGGTGACAAAATAGTGGTTTCCTAGAAGATTCCTTTGATTGGCTTCAACATCTATCTAGGTTTTGTTATAAAGAGAGTTAGATTATTCTTCAAGCATGTGTGAAAAGTGTCTTAAATTGCAGAATGAGGAAAAGCAAAATTGCAGTGATCTGCAAGTATAATTCACTTAATGTTTCCCTGCTCCCAGGGTCTTTTCTATCTCTTCCCTTATCTGCAAGATGCAGTTGTTATTGGAAAGCACCAAAACCTTCAGACAGAGGAATTAAATATTGCAAGTGAGCAAAAATGATATATGGAAAATGTTATGTTGCTAGTACTCACTGGTATCCAGGTTTTATGCTTAGAACTAAGTCTTTTTCTTTCCGTTCTTTCAGTTTAAGGATTTACTAAAGCGTATCTCCAATAATTTACTTGTAATTATACTGTAAAATGAATGTGAATTATGTAACTCACTAAAGGCAGTTCTTCCATTAAAAAAATGACTTCCCTATCACATAGCTATAACTGTGCAGACAAAAGTCTAATTAAAAATGTACTGGTTTTCCTTTATTCAGCATTTAATTTATATGGCGGCATACTGCCTTATTCAGTCACCAATTTGTAACTTAATATTTGTCCTTTTATTTTGCAGATCGTTGAAAAGAATGTTGCTGTCCGCAGCGAACTAATATGTATTTAAGATCTTAGTATACAGCCAGTAACAACCTTTTCACACTTTTTTTTTCCTTATTCAGGAATTTTCCCCCTTCCTCTGTAGTTATATTAAGTAAAATATTTTTCATTGTCACTGACCTTTTTCTGTAACTTTATTCATTGGAGCAAGTGATTATTTTAAGTGTTTTCAAAAAGCAGCAAATCCGAGGGGTTGTCTTAAGAACATGCAAAGTACCTGTCTTAAGACCGTTTTATTTCTCATTTTATCCTGCTTATGTAGTAACTGAATTACTGAACTCTGCGGCTAACGAAGTTCAGTTCTTTCCTCATCATTCCCTAATTATAGCATGGTTTAAGTCTGCCAGAACTAACTTACTGAAATATTTGGCTTCTTTCCAAAGGTATCAAGTTTCATTAGAGAACAGGCACATGAACAGCTTCAAATGATAGTTATTTCTCTAAAGGAAGAGTTTTATTCCAAAGCAGACGCATTGATTGGAGTGTGTCCAGAGGTAACAATTACTTATTACCGAGTTTTACTAAAATAATACACGCTGGTTTTTGTTGAAGTACTGATTTACACCATGTTACTACAGTCAATCATGTACATAATTGTGTTGCTGGATTTGAACTACTTCGTGTTCAGAAATAAGTGCAGGTACCGGCTCGATGAAAAGATCATTTTGGTAACTCAAGCTCATTATTCAATCTCATAGTCATTTATGAAATGCTTATTTCAAATTACAGAAATGTTTTAAAATTGTATGATCCTTCCTCTTCTCAGCATGATGACTTTATGTTCAGTCGAGTACTGACTTTGGATCTTACCGAGTATCCAGACATGGATGACCAGGAAAGAACAGAGAAGCACAAGCGCAGTTCTGTTTCGGAATAAAGCATGGATGATTTCAGGGCCAGGTGACAACAGCAAGAACTGTGTTTACAGCTGACTGTAACAAATCTGAGTTTGAATGTGGCTGTTAGAGGTTGATAGCGAAATGTTTACCTTTCAGACAAAGCAGTTTTCTAAAATACTGAAGGAAGCAACTGCTGGTCATTGATACAGTTTTGTTAACAAGTAAGAGAGCGCCAGAGGTCGTTATTGAAGTGTGTACGTTCTGGTATGCAAAACTTTCTCTTCAAATGTTTTAGGTGTTTTTGCCTTAAGATGAAGGATTACGGGTTCACATAAGCACACTATTACGAAGAATAAGCCTTTCCTTTTCTTATGAAAAGTAATGTGTTTAGCCATATCTCCAGTGCGCTGTTTAGATGCATGTTACACTAGTCAAGACCTTTACAAACTCTCTCTTTTGTGTCGCAGCTGCATCTGTTTGCCTTCAGATAGGATTATTTCCTGTTTTTTAAAACAAGATGGTACTGGAACCTGCCCGTTACCTTACGTGACTTTTGTGATGCCCAGTAACACTTCGGTCTTCTGCTGCAACCTTATGAAAATATTAGTTAATTTTACAAAAGCTCATCATATATCTCTCTAGGTGTGATATAACCTGGAAAAATTTCACCTTTGAGGTATTCTACCTCACACAAAAGTGGAAAGAATAAAAGAGGTGTGAGTCAGATGCCATACAGGTAGCAGCCTTAGAAAAAAGTATATTGGTTTGAGATTGTTATTATGTAGCTGTCCCAGTAAAGTCGAGTTTATTTTGATGGCCGTGCTTCATGTAAGAAGCAAAGTTAATAAAGTTGCATACAGAACACTGTTTGAGAGAGCTCTAATCACTTCATGTGGCTTACGTTTCACCTTGGTGTATGCTGAAGAGCTTTATTTGGTTTATGGTTGTTCATAATACTTACATCTTCTTAAGTTCATATACTAGCTTCCTTTTATCCACCACGCTGCTTATACACCTCTACCTTGTAACGTGTTGCTAATACTGTGCTTGTTGCACACAACTGATGATGTCTGGACATGTGGGGTTACTGCATAAGGAAGGAATGACATGCGAGCAGCAGATAGCATGTTCCTATGGGAACATTTCAATGACATAAATGTGTCCACTTACTTATACTGTAGACAGATGTTTATCAAATACTTATGTTGCTGCCACACTTTAATAAATAAAATTACTTAACTCTGAGTGTAAGTCGTAAGTTAGCATCAGTCCCTTAATTCAGAATCCATTGACAGATGTGGAAATACTTATAGTAGTGTGAAGGATGGATAGAAGAGCAGCCTCTAGTGATTTTCAAAGATCTTTGACCCGCATCAGTCTGTGTATTGCAAATACAGAAGTTTTGTTTTGTGGCTTTTTTTAACCATTTGCTAGGAACAGCTGGTTGAAATAGAAAAATACAGTAAAGAATTGAACAGTCTGAAGAACGGTGAAAGCTACACGTCTTAGCTACTATACAAGAATGGTCTATTTAGCTTTAAATACTTTATTAAAAGGTTGTATGCCATCATCAGAGATGTCCTATCACATTCATTACACAGCTTGAACAAAACAGGACAATAAATGGTCAACAAGTTTGTTTTCAGTAAATATCTTACTGCCATTTAAAAAAAAAACAACTATGAATTAAGTAGAAGAGCCGCCATCTATGGTAGAATTGGCAAACATCATTTAACGTGCCAATTTGTATGGTTAGTTCTTTCACAGTACTTGGGTAATAATTTGAACAGGGCCTTAAACAAGTTACTCTTTCACTTAACAGATAAATGGAACAGACAAGCTTCAGGTTCTGACCCTTTTGACTGTATTTTAAACCCTGAGGTAGCTGCAAGGCAATCCCATCCCTAAGATGACAAATATATTATTGGATTGCAGGGGGTGGGGGGGGGAGGACACACCAAAACTAGGCATTTCTACCTTCTTACTGTGTATGTTAGGAATTAAAATAACCCCCTACTTACCCATCTGCTTTTCAGGATACAAATAAATGGCACTTGAGTCAGGGGAGGCTGGTGTGTAAGTAAGTAAGTTGCAGTTCAGCTCTACAAAACTGAAGAATCATCACCAGTGCTAGGTGTAAGTTGATCCTTACCAAAGGGAGGGGGTGTGATTTCCTAATGTGGATCTGACTTCAGGCACGAGATAAGGAGTTACGTGACTTTAGGGTTGGGCTTAAATAATTGCAGTAATCAGGGTCATAAATGGCTCAGCTCATCTGATTAATTTTGCTGTAGCTTGAAGCAACAATTTAAGTGTTCTAAGCTGATCCATCAGCATCCAAAATAGCATGGCTGATCACTTTTGAAAACAGCCAATTCATGTTGACTAGAGAAGCAAATTTTAGAGGTTGGAGTCTTACAGAGAGTGCTATATGCAGTGCTAGAAGACTTAATTTTCAAAAGTGATGTATGTATAAATACAGTGTCTCAAAAGGGAGAGGATGCGTATGGTCTATATATTCAGGCTGGTTTTGCTTTTGATTTTTACCTTTTAAAAAACACAGCTGAAACCCTGAGAACTGATGCTTGAGGTCCTTAGCAATTATATCACATACTAAAACCCAAGTATGGTTTCCAGACTGTCAATCATGAAAGACAACTGGGTGTTTTCTTCTGGGGTAGAAGACAAGAGTCAGTGTGCATGCATTGTTTAAGATGATTGCTTTTCTAGGCAAAATGTCGTGAGATCTTTACCTACTTCAGAACAGGGACAAAGACTTCCACACCACAAACACTCTACCCATCTCAGTAATTATTAGTCTAGAAAGAAGCTTTTAAGCTTTTCATTGTGCACACATACATACTAGAGAACAAGCAGAAATTGTTTCTGTGACATGGGAGTAAAGAGTTGACATACCACAATTCAGACAGAAAGGTCATCTGACAGGCCCATCACTTCCACTCCCTGTAAAAGCTCATTATAGTGTGATGTGATCTCTGAAGGTGTAACATCAAACCCACAGGGAACATAAGCAGAGAAACCTGACTGCAGCAACCCTCCAGGACTGCCAGGTATGAATGTGCCAGAATAAGAACAAAGAATGCTCCTGAACATGCTCTCCTGCAGACACTGAGGTGAGAAGCAGCTGACTAGAACACTTCATAAGATTACCAGTGTTAGCAACTGGACTGGTAATTATGTCAGTTTAGTGCTGAGACAATTCAGTGGCAGGAGAAGTAACAGCACCTCAGGAAAAAAAAAAAACAACAGTTAATGCAATGCCTAACCTTAATCATCGAGTAGTTCAACTGAAGTCAAACTTACACACTAGAAATTGTGTACGCAATTAGATACTAACTGGTTTTAATTCTGCTGCATTAAGACTATCCATTATCTGCTTTCTGAGATAACTGGCAGCATACTCTGTGATTTAAACAACAACATTTAAAATATTTCCGTAGAAATACACTGCAAATAGGTCAGTAAGCCCCCATGTACATATGGTATGTCCTTGCTGATACATTACTATTGCATCCTTTTCTCCGTGTGATCTCATGCCTTAACAGACTGACAAATGAAAACAAACAAATACTCGTGCTGAAAGTGTAAAATAGGCAGGTTATCATGATGCAGGATCTATAAACGTGAAACAACACTTCCCAACAGCTTAGGGATCCGAACCTGAAGCTTGCAAGCAGCCTTGTGCTGACAGACCCCTGAAGAGTTCAACCTCCAGCAGCCTAACTGCAGTTCAGCTGATGAGAAAAGAATAGAAACCCCTTCATTTCAAAGGCAACTAACAGATAGTCGCAGGTATGTCAAAAGTAATTTCTGACAGATTCAAACAGTACCTCTGTTGTGGCCTCACCTTGGTCCAACTGGCTTGAAGCACAGGGAGAGAAAACTCGCACCTGCTTCTAAACAACCCTGCAGATACAGTTTTAGTAGTACGGAAGTGCCTGGAGAGTGACTAGTACGACTCTCAAGCTTTACATACATTACACATTTACAGCTCTAGAAAAGAAAAGGCTAAGGTGCACAATTTTTATTCCACTTAAAACCATGGGAATACTCAGGTCAAAACTTTTCATGCAGCAGATGTAAAACACCTACTGTTAAAAAGCTGCTGGGTTGGGTTTTGTTTGGGTTGTAAAACACCTACTGTTAAAAAGCTGCTGAGCTGGGTTTTGGGTTGGGTTTTGTTTGGGTTTTTTTTCACTTAAATAGTGAGTATACCATTGTCTGACTGCTTGATTCTCTTAGGAGAGTCAGTGCTGGTTTCTCCTAACTTCCTTTTAGCACAGTCCACACATGAAGTTCCTGTGGAGGGAGAGGGGGGAGGAAAAAAAAAAAATTTATGTTGCTACATATGTGTGCTTTGTATACTTTTTATTACAAGCACCAAATATTAAAATAAACACAATACTGGTCCACTGAGGTTCTTATATTTGGATTCTGAATTATAACACTAACCCTACTGAAAGTCTGCACCAGTTCAGTGATCTCGAGCTCTTCCCCAACACTGAGCTCTGGTACTAACATATAAAAAGGGAAGTAGCCAATTATACAGCTGCCTTCTGAGGAAAATAATTCTTGATTTTGTGTGATGCCGCCTGTGGAGTTCACAGGTGAGAAGCTTCTTTAAAAAGTTTGGATCCCTTATTCAGAGGAAAAAAATTGTTGGTGTGAGCTACTGTTGAAAGTATAAACAGCATAGCTGGACGGTAGAAATGAAAGGAAGGGAAATTCCTTCAAAATCAGGACATCCATCACTTAAACCTCTAGATATTTTTTTTTGGTGCGGTATTTTACAAATCTGTGTTAAGGAATAATTCTTTTTTTTTTTTTTAACTTGCTATGTATTCCAAAATACAAGTAAACAGGTGCTAAGATTACTTGTAAGGAGGGTGCTAATAAGTTAGTAAAGGAGCTTTATGTCAAGTGGAACTGGAATACATTGTCCTCAAGTTTTTGGTTTCTTCTCCACTGATGCCTAATTGTACTTTACTGAAAAAGGGATTTATGAATTCATCTGAAAGACAGATAAGCTTAAAATCTAGTTGCAATTACAAAAGTAATCTCTGACTTTACACCTGCCCACAAGTATCTTGGACCTTGTGTACTTTTTGATTGTGAAAAAGTGTGGGGGGGTGGAGGGTGTGTGTTTAAATCTCCTGCGATGCCAAAGACCCTTATATGCAATAATGAAATGGTATTTTTTATACAGGTTTGGTATCATTTGCAGCAGCAGCACAAATATCTTAGAAGCGTAATGTTTTTAAGTTGAAGTGTTGTTTCAAAGGGAAGTTTTGCTATTTTATACCATAAATTGGAATGTATTATTGCTCTGCTTATTCACAGAAGTATCACAAAGATACCTGAACAACACTTAGCCAAAAATTCACCTTCAGTACTACACGCTTAAGCTTGAGATTCACTCCTCCATACCTTCTTAAGGAAGGCATTCAAAATAGCCAAACGTATGTTTGGAAATTTAAGCCAAAACCTTAATGGATGTTAATATTATCTTAGAATACTCTGATCAGCATTAATAATTTTTTATACACATTTTCTGGAGCTTTTCCATTTTATCATTTGTCATTTTATTGACACCTGAAAGCCAGCAGTTATCTGCTAATATGTAGAAAGAAAATAAGAGGGCAAAAAGAGAGTATGTTAAGCAGACTTTCAGAGCTAAATCACAGTGCTGCACTATAATCATTCAATTACTTTGTAAATGAGAGACTTATTTTTATCCCTCTGATAGATTACGGAACTTCCTGTGAAAATAAGAACATTACTCACCCAACAGTGTTGTGCTGTCCACTCGATCAGCATCTAGAGAAGTTTAAGAGACAGCAACGGCACAAGTTAGCATCCAAAAAGTTTTTACATTTTTATACAACATTCCAAAATGGCAAGGTTGTATTTAGAATCACAGAATAGATTGGGTTGGAAGGGACCTTTGAAGGTCATCTAGTCCAACCCCCCTGCTGTTGGCAGGGACATTTTCAATTAGATCAGTTTCCTCAGAGCCCCGTCCAACCTGACCTTGAATGTTTCCAGGGATGGGGCATCCACCACCTCTCCAGGCAACCTGTTCCAATTTCCTCCCAATACCTAATCTAAATCTACCCTCTTTCAGTTCAAAATGGTTACCCCTCCTCCTATCACTACACTCCCCAATAAAGAGTCCCTCCCCCTCTTTCCTGCAAGGCACCCCTCACCCCTGCCCCAAGTACTGGAAGGCTGCTATAAGATCTCCCCAGAGCCTTCTCTTCTCCAGGCTGAACAACCCCAACTCTCTCAGCCTTTCAGCCTAATTTTCCTTATTCAGTGGGGTAGGGAGGGAGAATCGCCTCCCTCGACCTGCTGCTCACACTTCTTTTGATGCAGCCCAGGATACGGTTGGCCTTCTGGGCTGCAAGCGCACATTGCCAGCTCATGTTGAGCACCTCATGAACCAACACCCTCAAGTCCTTCTCGGCAGGGCCGCTCTCACCCCATTCTCTGTCCAGCCTGTATCCATGACTGGGATGTACAGGACCTTGCACTTGGCCTTGCTGAACTTCATGAGGTTCACACAGGCCCACCTCTCCAGCCTGTCCAGGTCCCTCTGGATGGCATCCCTTCCCTCTAGAGTATCAGCCACACCACTCAGCTTGGTGTCATCCGCAAACTTGCTGAGGGTGCACTGTCCACGTTCTCAAAGATGTTAAATACTACTGGTTCCAATACAGACCCCTGAAGGACACTGCTCATCACTGGTCTCCACACAGACATCGAGCCATTGACCGCAACTCTTTGAGTGCGACGTCCAGCCAATTCCTTATCCACCGAGTGGTCCACCCATCAAATCCATGTCTCTCCATTTTAGAGACAAGGATGTCATGCGGGACAGTATCAAATGCTTATCCACCAACGCTGTAACCCTGTCACAGAAAGCCACCAAATTTGTCAGGCACGATTTGCCCTTCATGAAGCCATGTTGGCTGTCACCAATCACCTCTCTGTTTTCCATGTGCCTCAGCATAGTTTCCAGGAGGATCTGCTCCATGATCTTGCTGGGCACAGAGGTGAGACTGACCACCCTGTAGTTCCCCAAGTCTTCCTTTTTTCCCTTTTTAAAAATGGGGGTTATGTTTCCCCTTTTCCAGTCACTGGGAACTTCCCCAGTCTGACATGACTTTTCAAATATGATGGCTAGTGGCTTAGCAACTTCATCTGCTTCATCTGTAGATTAAGAATTCTACCAGGGCATGCTTGCTGCAGCCCAGGCTACCTCCAATCTTGACCTCTCCAACAGCGAGCAACAGATCCAGCAGCGCCTCTCCTCTGGTCAGGCTCTCCGTCACCTGTACTAGGAAGTTGTCCTCAACGCACTCCAGTAGTTTTCCTGGACTGCTTGCAGTTCGCTGTGCTGCTTTTCCAGCACACGTTCGGGTGGCTGAAGTCCCCTATCAGGGCCTGCATTTCTCATTTCTTTCATATAACCCTTTTAACAAACTCCTTCTGCTATTTTTTAAAAGAGAGTTTGTAAATAAGCATGAAAAAAATGAAACCTGACAGTTTGGTAACGTAAAGAGCAGTTACGCACATTTGAAAACAGTTTTGTTTGGAATCTTGACTTGTAAATGTGATCAACATTCAGATCAAGATTCTGAAGTCAGAGTTAAGTCCCTCTTCTTGCAAGTATTATGCCAATCAGTAATTCCACTGAACAAAAAGGGGAGCATTATAGTCTGATTTTGCAGTCGTTTCCATTTAGAGCTTACGTAAATGTATCTCCCACCCTGTTTTGATATCAATGGCTGCTTTGCAATAAATCGGATACTCCAGACTCAACAGGCTCTAGGCACTGCTCAGACTATGAGAAGCATGTCCATCACATCCATCAACAGCAGTATGTCAAAGAACCAGCAGGCTGAGGCTGGTTCAGTGTCTGAAACTGCACCCCAACTTACTTTTAGGTGTCTACACTGCAGACAAACTTCCCGAAACCTAGATGCTGTGCTAAGTATTTTTTCTAGCCTTCATGGAAAGAAAAATCTAATCCAGTCTAAATGTAATATTCATCCAGTTACAAAAACCATTATATGATTTGGGCGTACACCTGCAATTTTCTTTTAAGGAGGGCAAGGGGAAGGTTCCTGCTATGCACCGCTTGTGTGACCACTAATTTTAGACAAAACAGTTTCACTGACGTGATACATAAGAGAGCTGTGAAACAGTATTCTTCCCAAGGTCATTTACTCTAGTTATTTTCCTCAATTCTCTGCATAAGCCATAGTAGAACTGTCCTTGTTTGGAAAACATTAAAGAAGTCTCTTTCTTTCAACATACTGTTGTTGTTTTTCCCTCGTTTTGTATTAAAGGCTCTTCATCGTTACAGCTAAGGAATTTTATGAGTGGAGAGACAACAGGATGGGAGTAGGTGAATGGACCTAGTTAGTAAGATTTAGCTCCCTGTCGGTACAGGACTGCTACCTTCAGCAAAGGTATCGAGTTATTTCCCATTTTAGCATTAAACGCCCTCTACAGAATGCCATTCACTGTCACAAATGGAGTATTATTCCACAGCCTCTTCTATTTTATTGTCACAAAACATTATCCTCACACTCGGGTTTTCTCCCCATTAGCCCTAACTGTGCTAAGCGAAACGCTATTGGGTGTACTAATTTCCCATTCTGCGGTTCATCAGATATTGTGGCTCAACCAGCTTATCCCACCAGTTATTCTTTTAGCCTCTTTTACTGACATGTCATATTTCATACAATGTAATACTCAATATACTGGAGTCGTTCACGCCAAAAAAAAAATACACAAAGTAAACAGCTTAACCAAATGCTAACAAAAAGACAAATTCAGAATTAAAGATTAAATTTGCAAGAATCCACAGACCTTACAGAAAGAAATTTGGTTACAATTTTGTCACGTGTTCCAACTCTGCATGCCATTCATAAGCAAAGATGCTGCACAGGCCTATCGCTAGCTACGCACGAGGTCAGCACCTCAGACCAACTGCTGATTGTTCAGACGTGGCACCCTGCTACGTACCTACTCAAAATGTTCTTATTGAAGAGGATACATTACCTGGGCTTCTCTGCTTGCAGATTTGAGCAGTCAGATCTTGTACGTACTCTGGGAATTGTTTAAAGCAGTCCCCGTAGGACACTACTTTTATTCCGTGCAGCAGCATATCTGCCTGGAGCTTAAAAAAGTGGTCTTCATTTTCTTTAAGCACCAACATATAATGTTCTAAATCCACTTTATTCTTTACAGTATAAAGAAAAAGAGCTTGGAATATCTGATCACGCAGAGTCTCTCCGCAGCCCAAAAACAAAAAAGACTTGGTTCGATACAAATTTTGAAGAACCTCCTGTTAAGAAATATAAGCACACAAGCGCTACATTTACTTCAGCAGTCAAAAGGCCAAGGTAAGAACTTTTAAAATACGTCAGACTTAAAAGGAGAAGCAGAGCAGATATCACTATTGAACTGAATTAAGCACATGTTTTAGGATCCGGGCAAACTGACATTTCATAAGCACTGTTTCTACAAAAAAAAAAAATTATATTCAAAGTTACCATACAAAATTAAGTGCACATGTATTTCCAGTAAGGGAATTTTAAATTGAAAGAATTACGATGACAGAATATTAGGCTCCTGTTTGGTCAAGAATATTAATTTTCCTTATTTACAGATTGACCTAATGTTTGACTTCTTAAAATACCTAAGATACGACATTAAGTCCAGGATCCAGAGCTGGTAACAGCTTAAGCCCCTAAAAAAATGAATCCAAGCAATCAGATGGTGATGGATCCTTGTTCTGGTGTCTAGTATTTTGGGGCTAATGTTCCTTCATGAGATAAATACAAAGAACTCTAAAACTACGACATACAGCTGAGGGTTTTGATTGTGATTTACAAAGCAGCAGTATACAAGAGCATACATTGCCCTAGCAACACAGCTGACTTTCTGAATAATACTGCCATTTTTCTGGGCCCCAATTATTTAATCTATATGAACTGCAAAACCCTAGCCTTAGGTAATGTGTATGCAGTGATTACAAAAAAATAGTTTGGCAAAACGTAGTGAAGATTTTAAAGATCACACGAACCATGACTTCAGGATCTTGAGTAACATCTTTATATCCCGAGGGATCTAGCACCATTCCACAGGGATCTGTATATAAGCCGTGAATATGAAGAACTCCATATTTTATATGACCTCTTGCCCACTGAAGAACCTAAAGCAAATCATGCAAGTTACATTCTTTTGTTATACTATAATATACTACAATAACCGAGATTCTGCAAAAATATACAGCTGTCTTAACTTATAAAACCACTTAAAGCAGAAGTAACTTCTTTTGCACTTTTCTGCAGCAAGAGACAATTTTAATTACTAATTACACAGCTTACTTTAAATTATAATAAAGGGGTGATTGCTGATACTGAAGATATCTCTGGCTTTTTGGTCTAAACAAGCATTCAACCAAGAAGCAAGTTCCAGCAACACGGACAGAAAAGATATGAACAGCAAATTAACTACCAGCTAGGTGAAATCATATTTGTGATTGTAACAATTACTTCACGTAAGTTAAGTAAGTTTGTGTGTTTTTTCCACGGAGTGGGTGGGCATTGGTTAATAAGTGCATCACTGAAATTCTCTTTGGTAACTGTTACCAGATTATTCAGAATAAAAAGACACGTAAAATAAATGTGCATCTGCTGTTAGCTTATAGACATGCTTTACCAATTAAGAAGTTTTAGCCTCGACACTCTTTAAACAGGAAAACATCTTTCAATGAAGCTTATGAGCTGCCTTCTCTTCTAATAAGTCTAAAAACTTTACTGCTCTCATCATACCTTATCCTTATCTTTCAAGTCTAAAGATTCCATAGGTTTACCCTGTTGCTGACCAAATATTTCAAGTAAATTATCATAGTTTGTAGTCAGAACCATTGTGCCTCTCTCCATCAGTCTCAGGATTGATTGCAGAACAACGGGATTCTGAATGTGTTGTTCTAAATTATCGAACACCTCCATTAAGCAATCCTGGAAGAAGTTGGGCTTCGTATCCCCAGTACGCTGAAGAAAGAAAAAGATGAACGCTTCATAAGGACCACGTGCACCATTATAATTGCCTCCACATCATTTGTCTACTTAATGCCAAAGCATTTCTTTAAAATTAGAGGGCTTACATAGTATACAAAGCATAAAGGTCTGAATGTACAAAACCATCAAAACCAATCTCAAATTATTCAGGTGCTCTTGCCTCTACTTAATGTAGCTCAAAATAATAGTCTGGCTTTCTCAAGGAAAGCTTGTAATGCAGGTACAGTAAAACAAAACTGTTTTGCTACAGTGAAATCCTCACTCGTCACTCCTAAACAAACATGAAGGTACGCTTTCCTCAAAGCGTAGGCTGCATTTGCCCAGAGTATCTGCCGAGACTGATAGGAACACGTAACAATTCTATGACATATACAGGCTTCCTATTCAATAAACTGTATCACACACAGAACAAATGTCTGTTTATAAGCCAAATATGGTTACTGGCCTAACTACATGGAAACCTCACCTTTCTCAGTATGATTTTACTGCTTTGAAAACCGGTTAGTGTACTGAAATTATCATTCCCTGGATTCAGAGTCTGGGATATACTATTAAAGGGTTTGGGGTTTTTTTTCTGGGTTTTTTTTTTTTGCTTCCTGGTTGAGAAAAATGTATTAATTGTTCAATCTGCCTAACCATACATGCAGACTCCTCCCAAAAGAGAGAGGTTATTATTACACTTTGCCTCTAGAGAAGCTCACCACGTGTTGTAAAACACTCAACACACCCTACAACTTAGCAGTATGTATGTCACCCTAATTACTTCAACTGGAAGACTTGGCAAACCTGTTAACACAATCTGAAAACCTCTGGAACCCAAGACGAACGTCTGAGAAACTGGGCATGTATGGACTGTCTTCAGTGAAGTGTGAGCTGCAGCAGTGATTACGTCTGTGTGATCTCAGGCTATCAGTAGGGTCAAGGTCTACCTGTACTTTCAGGGTATCTCTAGTTTTACCCAGCAGAGCTATAAATTCCTCTTTCAGTTCCAAGAAACGTTATGGCAAATATTTAATAGTCGGGGGTCTTGCTTGCATTAATCATGACGAAAGCTTGCTTACACTAAAAACCAAGATTTTTTAGCCTCTCTAAAACGTACAGCGTACTATATGACTACCATCAAACTTTCACTTTTTACCAGAAAAATTTCAAGTTTTAGAAAGCTGAAAAGAATTTTTGTTGATAACAAAATAAAAGTACGTAAGAATTTTAGAAATCAATCAAAGTTATAAACATACTCACTGGTGACATTTTCCTGATGAGATCGTGTGCAACCACAAGCAGGTCTCTATCTTTGATTACTTTTTTACGAAATTCAGCAACATCTCCCGGATGAAGCACCTCCAGCTGTTCAGCTGCTTCAATTACAGCCTCAATGCAGCTTCTCCAGGAGCACAGCGCTGGGATTCCTGGTGCTACTGCAGCACTTACCCCAGTTCCAATTACAAGAAGAAGGTCCCGAGGCTGCTTTCTTATTAGACTTTTTAAGAATTTTCTTTAAAACAGAAAACAAAAATCTTCATTTTTCACAGTGCATTTTCTAACTTTTCTGAAGATCTCACAACTGACTCAGGAAGTCCATCTGAACTATTAACGCTTGTGCAAAATACTAACCAACCAAAAGGAACGGAGTTCTCCATTTCTACGCAGAAGAATGGTATTGGCAGCAGTTCACAGCCTTCCCCAAACCGACAATGTACTTTAGGTCTTTTGGTCATTTTAGACAAGTAAGTGTACATAATTAATTAAAGCCAAAAAATGGCAACAACTTCAAATCACTAATGTCTTTGAGATCCAAATTGACAATTACCAATTTTCAGTCCACTGGGCTAGCCAAACACCATTTCAAATGAAATTTTGAAAAAAGCAGTCAAAGGACTGTCCAATGGTTTACTTAACACGTGTCTGATAGAAAGTAAGTAGAAGTATTTCAAAGGGACGAGTCACAATATTTCAAAGAAACAAACTTGTGTTTTTCTGGGAAAAAGCAGTATCTTTTATTCTCACTTATTCTCACTTTAGGATACAGGAACATAAGAAGAGTCATGCTTGTTCAGATCAAGGGTTCATCTAGCCCACTATTCAGATGTTACTAACCACAGACGACTCTCAAAGGCGTATTTGGTTCTACGTCAGTATTCACTGCGCAAGCCAGCACAAGAAACTGTCGAGGAAGTCTGGCTTTCGTGATTACTTTGCAAAGAAGTGAAAATGCATTTAAACCATACAGTGAAATCACTGTATACAAACAAGGATTTCAGTAATACAGAACCTTAGAATTCCCTTGACTTTCAAAACTACCTTTACAGATTTTTAATTCCTGTTAATCCGGTAATATGGATGTTTAACACCTCTTATTTCACAATCATCTGAAACTATCTAGCTAAAACTATAATGTTTAACTTGAAATGGCCTCAGGCAAAGCAATTAATAAACATGTAGATAAGGTTGCTAGCCAATGCCTACAAAGAATATATTGCTGATAATCCCCATGCCTTCCTGCTACATTCAGCACAAATTGTTTCCTCTCAGCAAGTATATTATTTATTCCTCACAAACAGCTTAACTGAGTATGAAGCCCTCGGTCAGTGGAGAAACTAGTTTCTGGGATCGTTTCAAGTTTTCAAGCATGACGTTGTTCTTGCATCCAGTTTTCAGTAATGTATTTCCACTGTGTTTTCAGATTTTCATTAAGAGACAGTTTTGTATAATCTCTGCAACACAAGTTACCTGGATTTCTGCTCACTTCTAACTGTTGATTGTTCTGATGAATCCATCTCTGAGCCCTAAGTGAAACAAAAAGTAAAATAATTCCTAACACTTCTACCTTAAAAAAGGCCAAAATTAAACCCAGATGTATTATTGTTAGCATTTTCTATTTATTCTTATCAAGTATTTTAAAATCAAGACTCTGTATGTCACACCCCAGTTAAGCAACGCACTGACAGAAACAAAGCTGACAAAGTATGAGTGTGTAAATCTACCACAGCTCCATTTAAGCTCAGTCGATGGACATTTTGAAGCTAACGAAGATAGGGCTATTCATGCAGCTGAAAAATACTTGTGTCTAAATTCAAGGTAAAATTTATCATACCCACTTAAATGTTAATTCAAGTAAATTAATGCATTTCTTGCATTAATTTTTTTTCATAATAACCAGTTGATTCAACCAAGTTTGTGGAAACAGGACTTCTGCAACACATAATGATCACGAGAGGCCCTCCGCTAGCCACCTGGCTACTCTACCAGACCACATAACACGAAAGATTTTTTTCTCAGCTAGTATTTTAAATAAAAACTTATTTTTGTTTCGTCTATATTGTCTTGTGTCTAAAGCATAAGAAGGACTGCATCTTGGCAGGAGAATTTGGCTACAATATCGTCACTTAGAAATCCCCAAGTTTCATTACATTAATTCTTGGCTTTGTTTTTGTAAGGATGTATTTTTTGTTTGGCTTTGAAACACATCTTAGTTTGTGGTTGTGGAGATTGCAGACTGCAGACCCTAATCCCTCAAATACGCGTTCTGCCAGACCCTATGGCTCATAAGGCTACTTGCCAGCTCTCAGGTTCACATGCTGGAAGCTAATTTGGAAGCAAGAGGCCCAAGTTTGGAGATCATTTGACCGAAAAAAACCCCAAAGAAAAGAACAAACCCAAAAAACGCCCACCCTATGATAGGGGGACATCAGCATTTCTGAGGAAAACACACAGATCTCTTCTGCGAATGCACCCAGGATGTCTTTTCAAGTGGAAAAAACTTTTCTTGTTGTAGTATTTATTTCCTCCATGCTCCCTTCCTTCACTGACAGTATCCTACAAAGATGCTACACTACCATCTGAAGAACGTTAGCACATTCAAAATTCAGAACAATAACCTACCTAGAGCAAAACACTTCAAAATCTAGAGAACAAGATTCCTTTATATATGGAAGAGTTATGAGTTCACAACGCAAAAACAACACATGAAGGAAGTGCAACTTATTTATTCTGAAAAAGATTGTATTATTTTATAACCCCATCCAGTGAAGTATTTGGGAAAGAATCCCCAAGAAAGCTTTAATAATTACATTAGTAACTTACCAAAATTAATAAAGTAAGCATCTCACCACAGGATGCTGTCAGTACCAACATTTTAGACCTCATTGTTTCCTTTTACCCCTTAAAGTTGCTTCCTGGAAGCAGAAGCTGTGCAAATAAGCGGCAGCAATTATCACCAACCCGTAACAGCTAAACGGCTGCAAAGGATAAAGTTCAAATTTCTCCCATGCCTTTGAGTACTTAGTAATCGTGACTAGTCTTGAACATTCTCTTATTAGATGTAATAAACACTTCTTCAGTGAGCACACCTAGAAAAACAGAGGACCTGGGCACCAGCATTCAACACTGGTGTACTTTCAAAAAGACACGTTGGACTAACCAAAGGCGTGCGCGGTTGCTTTTCAACACCCTTTCCTCACGGCAGCCTGGAAACCGGACCCCACTACAATCCAGATATACCCGAAAGCGCTGAATGGGAGCTGGGTCTTTACTCCAAACGCAAGGAGGGGTCATCAGAACAAATTCTAATTTCGTATTTTCTTCCTGTTCAAGAAAGTAAGTTTTATTTAAGGATCCGTGCATGGAACGAGAGCTCTATTCACTGACTGAAACTTCAGGTCAACGCTTTAATTGGACCAAACGATTTTTCCGGGCAGTTCAATATACGAAAGCAGCCTAAAATGCTCAACACGAAGGAAGCACCGGGCACAGGAAAGTCTCCTTCCCCCACCCACCCCACGTCCCCGACGATTCTCTCCGGAAAAAGACCAAGG